TTTGATTTCTAATTCCAAATTATTTGAACAATTGCCTCTAATAATAATCGAGTCCACATCTTTTGGAATTGTTCCGATATATGTTCTGAATATTTAGAAAGTGGTTTATACCGTTTAAACCGATGCCTGGCTCACTACGAAATATTGAAAAGTTCAAAAAGTTGCTGAACCTAAGAATAAGAAGCAAAGGATCTCTCACGATAAATAAAATTTATCTGTGGCATCTTAGACTTGGTCATATTAGCCTAAACAAGATTTAAAGACTGGTAAATGATGGTCCTTTACGCGAACTAAAAGTTAGTAAGCTTCCAGCCTATGAATCTTGTCTGGGAGGCAAAATGACCATGGGGCCTTCCATGTCGAAATGAGAAAGAGCCACAAAACCTCTTCAGCTAATACATTCGGATGTATGTGGACTGTTAAACGTCCAAGATAAAGGAGGTTACAAATATTTCATCACTTTTTATTGATGATTATTTGAGATATGGTTATGTTTACCTAATGCAACAGAAATCTGAAACTTTTATAAAGTTTAAAGAATTCTGAGCAGAAGTTGAAACACAGTTTGGTAAACCAATCAAGACACTTCGATTACATCGAGGGGGTGAATACCTGGACCAAGAGTTTTGGGATTTCTTGATTGAAGAAGGTGTGGTATCCCAATTGACTACACCCGGTACACCATAGCAAAATATAGCCGAAAAGAGAAATCAGACTTTGCTCGACATGATAAGATCAATGTTGAGTTATTCTTCACATCCTACTTCGTTCTGTGATTATGCCCTAAGAAACATCGTGTATATTCTAAATCTAATACCATCTAAGTCTATACCAAAGACGCCCCTAGAGTTGTGAAATGGTCGAAAGCCAGTTTTGAAGCATATTCACATATAGGGGTGTCTCGCTCATGTGATGAAACAATAGACTGGGAAGTTGGAACCAAGATCATAAATATACATGTTTGTGGGATATGTAATGGGGACAAGAGAATGATTATTTTATATAGTCATAAGAATCAAAAGTATTTGTATCGATAAATGCCACGTTTCTAGAGCATGACTATATGGTAGTTATCAAGCCCAGAAGCAAAGCAGTTCTGGAAAAGTTACTTTCCAATAAGATTGGACCACAACTGACAGAGTTGTTGGAACGCTAAGAATGACCACGATTCCTAATCAAACTCTTGTGGCACCTCGTCGTAGTGGGAGGGTAAGCAAGTTACCTGACCGATATACTGAGGAATCACAGATCATCACTGCTAATGATGGTGAGGAGGATCCGTTGACCTTTAAGGCTATGATGGATGATTTTGAGAAGAAAAAGTGGCAAGCAACTATGAAACTCGAGATAGAGTCCATGTACTCTAACTTAGTTTGGCAACTTGTAGATCTACCTGAAAAGGTAAAACCCATTGGATGCAAGTGGATCTTCAAGAGAAAGAGATGAGCGGATGAAAAGTAGAGACTTATAAAGCAAGGCTAGTGGTTAAGGGTTACACCTAAAAAGAGGGAGTTGATTGTGAGGAAACTCTCTCACCGGTAGCCATGCTTAAGTTCATCCGGAT